GAGTCACCTAGGGGAAAGACTCAGGAATTTTTGTTTTTATTTTATTGTTTTTATCTAAGAACTTTAAGGCTCTTGGATGCAATAGCTATAATGCTAAAAGTAAATAAATAACCTAAAGCAATTTCCATGAGACTAAGTTTGTTAAGTTTGGTATTCTGGCTCAATTCCACATTGTACAAAGATGGGTTTGCGTGGCAAACTTTGGATCCAGATCGGAACCTACCTACCCATATCCTGAGGGGATTAGCTCCAGGTCTAGGTCTATATTTAGTTAACTATTGTATACTCTGCCTACCTAAATTCCCCTTGCAGTTCCCATTGGAGAAGATATTATACATTTCCCAGGCAACACCGATGAATGTTGATAATCAGGAACAGATACTTGGCTGCGATCAGTGGGGCTATGCCAATTTACACCAGTTGATTCAGGTGAAATTCACCCCCATGCAGAGGTCCAACACAAGGCCTGTGTCTTACTTAAGTCCCATTTAATATTTCACTGCATCATGTCTCAGAACTAGCTCCATTGCATTTCACCCCTATCATTTGAAAAATGTCTTGTGGCCCTTCTGGATGAAGGATATGATACAGACCTGAAGAAAAGCTCTGTATAAGCTTGAAGGCTTGTCTCTCTCTTACCAAAAGAAGTTGGTCCAATAAAAGTTATTACCTCACCCTCCTTGTCTCTCATTACAATTTTAAAATGAGTATGTCTTATTCTGAAGACAAATTAATCAATACTCCTTAAAAATACTTTTTTAGTAGAGCATGTGTAACCCTAAGATTACAAACAAGTGAACTTATTCAGCAAAGAAAAGAATATTTGGGAACAAAATTTCAAGCTATCAAAGGGTAATTATTAGAGCTGGGCAAATAGTGCAACCCACATTTAAGCTCACTTTTTTAAATGAAGTTGCCCTTGCCATGCTCATATCCCTTTTGTATTTTGCTCTATATGACTATTGAGCACTGTGTTTTACTGGCAAGAACCTTTGTGGGAAGCAAATTCAAAAACCAGGTGCATTTTTGGAGTAGTGTCTTATCTGACCAATCTATAACTGACATCCACATTGAATTTCAAATATCAGTAATAAATCTGAAGACCCAAAAAAATTGTGAAACAGTACTTGACAAACGTGGCTATTCTGTGAGCAATCTATTCAGCATTCAAAGAGATTAAATACAGCAAAGAAATGACTCGTGCAATTTTTCACTTAGTTTCATACTTAGAAAGAACAAGAAGAATAAATACACTTTAAATTTTGGAAAATATTTTGATCATTACCTGTTTAAAAATCCATTGACTAAAGCAGAACTCATTTGTAGAGCTGTATGTCAAGCAGATGTTCACACTACTCTCTTCATGAGAGTTCAGTTCATATGGCTAAATTAGGCTGACTACATTCCACAATCCTGCTATGAATTTTCACTCGTTATGATTCTTTACCGAAAAGGAAACCTTTGAGTGAAAGGACCAGTTATGTCCATGTCTGTCATTGGGATGTGCTGTTAGCATTAATAAAATAAATAATAATACCATCTAGCTCTTATATAGCACTTTTGATCAGTATATATCAAAGCACATTATCCCATTTTCCAGATGGGAAAAATGAAGCATATTAAATATAAGGGGTTGCAATACAGTGACGGGAGACCAGTTTAGTAATTCACTAAAATATGTGACAGCATGAGGTCCTGTTTAGCTATGCTATTGTTGCTTTACTGTAGGTGCCTGTTGATTAGAAGACACACCAAAATGTACCTATATAAGATCAGTTATTTATAGCTCTCAGATAGAACTGAGTGAAAGAAGGATGCTGAAATTTGCTGCTTTTATTTAAAAATTGCCACGTGTTTGTTTGAGGGGAATGGCCTTTCAAAACAAACAAACCTCAGAGGTTGCAATCCCAAACTGCTGGTGGGGTGTGCTGAAACTATGCAAAACTCAAATTGTTGAAGTTCACACAACATAAATAATTTCTGTAAATTCAGCTTCTATTTAGCTTCTCTGGTAGCAGTAATAAACAGTAAGGTAAGTGGGATGGGGGAGAAGTTAAGGAGTCAGATGAAGAATGTTCCTCTTATGAGATGGTTGAGAGGTATGGGGTGACCTGTCACCCGATTTATCAGCATCTCCCAATTTAGTTGAACTTCTCATGCTTTCTCATCATACATTATGTAACATTAGATGCTTAGCTCATGCTTGACTGCTCTATGGAGGCCAATTAAATTGGCTGCAGTGTAATTTTACATTGTGCTGAACTCGCCCCACCCCCTCAGTCTGTTGATATGGAAGGCAGAGAGAAGGTAAGGGTCAAGATATGATTTGTTGTTGGGGTTTTGTTGTTGAAGTGCTAAACAGCTGCACAAAACCTACTCAGCTTATGAGAAGACACAGTGGGCTAGTTTTTCCATATGGAACATGAACATTCTGCCTCAAAGTCATGTTAGTTGCTGCTCTGAGTTTTGTGTAAGACTTGCTCATAGAAGTTCCCATTGCTTTTCCCAGGAAAGCCTTTGAAACACTCTGATGGGGACAGTGGAGCTGGAGACAGAGCAATATCGGTATCAATAGTTCTGCTGCTAACCTGTTCTCATAGCTTGCTAGAGTAACTGGAAGGAAGGAAAAATGCAAATTTATGTAAACTGTTCCCACAGCTTAATGTAACCTGAAAAAAAGGTAGAATGTCAACTTACTTGTACAGGAAACTTGGAGTCTCCAAAAGAATGCTCTAACTGCATTGCACTGAAGGCCTTAGCTGCTGAGTTATAACAACACATCTGGAAAAAGAAGGGACATAAAAGAACCAGGCACTGGAATAGCTTTACAGAGACAGTTACACTCCGATTGGCCAGCTGAAAGCCTGCTAATAATGTGAAGGGTTATAAAACCCCAGTACCACATGTTCAGGCTAAAGGCATCAAGGGAAGGTTCCTGGAAAGGAAAAGTTAAGTCCTGAAGTTAAGTCTGTAGAATAGGAGCCTGACTAAAGAGAATCCTTACCTGAAAGAACACTAGTTCATAAAGCTCTTAAGCAGGTGCTTATCTTTAAGCATGTAAATAGTTTCACGATGCCAGTGAATCTACTCACATGCCTAAGTGCCTTGCTGAACCTTGGCCAGAGTACTCAGGGATGCCGAGACTTGAATAACATGGGAGTTTTGGGGATGTAGCCTTGTATTTTTTCTTGGTACACCAATAAGCTGCCTTTGTTCATGAACAGAACATCTGATCTCCAGGACTCTCTTTAACACCTGCCAATAACCACAAGCCTATTTTAGGCTCCTGGCTTATGTATTGCTAATTAGTTACAGAAGTTTTTTCTTTGAGAACAGTGACATGATCCCATTTCATATTAATCCGTTAATTTGATGGCAATGGGCAACTTCCAAACAGCAAAAAACTTAATATGGAAAATGCAATAAAATCTTGCATAAGCTTTATGTAACTTTTATTTCTTCAGTAATCTAAATCAAGTATCTCCCATACACACCTGAGCCTTTAGCTGTGCTATTTTGCCATTTCAGAACTGGTAAGGTTAGCAGCTTATTCTCATCTATCCTTAATTCTTGGTACTCTTAGAAGAATGAGTAGAATTCAAATACAAATGCAGATTATATTTTTACCTTTGTTCGTTTGTTTAGTGTTTATAATGTATTTAGCACTCTTAAATTAGCAGTTAATCCAGAAACAATTATATTTGGCCATTCATTCTGCTTCTTCTTCCTTGGCTTTAATTTACTTAATGCTAATGTCATTCCCCCACCTCCCAAACATTTCAGTGGATTCTAGCCTTAGTAGAGATGGGACCTGATTCTGAATGCAGGTGAATATTTACAATTCCTGCTGAAATTAGGGGGAGCTGTGGGTTCTCACTTGCACTGAGGATGTTTAGGCCCCACATTTGTAGAAACTCTACTATATATTTTTTGTTAGTAATTATACTATGGACATGTAACAAGGTGTATAGACTCAACAGTCTGGGAAACAGAGGGTTAAAAATCTAGTCCTGTACAGAAAGGCACCCCAGCAGTGATTGCAGAGGGATTCAGTCATCAGGTCACGTCTAGCACCACAGCCTAACTGATCAGTGGGAGATTAATAGGGAAAATGCTGCTGGATTGAAGAGACGGGAAGTAGCTGATCTCCTGGGAATAGAAGTGATATCAGGGAAGGAAGTCAAGATGCATGTGGAAGACTAAAGGGTGATTTTTCTATCGTGTGCCTCTTCGGGCCTGGAGGAAGTCTTTTGCTGTCGTCTTAACTCTGTAGGGGACCTTTTTTATTACCATTGGGCTCCAAGAGTCCTTTTCCTATATTATGTTTAGACTCCGATTACTAGACGACTTTCCCTCTCACGTTTGGGATTTTGCCTATGCCGCTTTCTTTTTGCGATCAGCTGTTCAACAAACACTGACTCCCTGGCATCTGAACTATAACCCTGTGTGCGTGTAAGTTCCTTGTTCCAGCTGCCACCAGTCTGGCCAGCAATCATAGTCAGGCCCATTTAACATAATGTTAGTTCTTTGTGTTAAAAACCTTCGCGATGAAATTTTATCTCAATACTTTTAAAGCAGAGACAGCTGTGAGTAGCTGTTAAATAGACACAAACAAGAGCTTAATCCAAACTATGCATGTTCGACAGTTTCTTAGATACATGTTGTGCAACAAGACCGCAAAAATTGGAGAAACCAAAACATGTTAATTATTTGAAATGGAAACTCTTTTTAACTCTAGGCATCCTTTTTATATATCTTGTTTAAATGCCATATTAATTTTTAAATCTTTGAAACTCCTTTATCTCCGCACACTTATGTTATATGGGTTACATTTTGACACGTGGTTTCAGTTTATTATGTAACGCTTCACTAAATAAATGCAAATTACCAATAATGACCTTTCAAATTTGAAGCATGACTTTACCAAAATTTAACTTTTCAGACAAATAGACAGAGGTTTATTTTTGTAAAGTTTGTTTTATTTCACAAATTAGTTTCAGTGTTTGCCATAGATAACACATATTTCAATGAAGTTCACATTCAATGTGACTAGGACAAATTTTTAAAAAAATCCAAACCCTGGACATGTCATTAAAAACACATGGATTTTAAATTCTCTTTTTTATACAGAAAATTGCATTAATAGATTTTGACCTCAAGACTAAGCCAAGGTACATGTGTTAAAGGCCCAGGAACTCTGCACTGATCTACAGCACTGGGCCTGCATATTGACTGAATAATACTGTGCACTGATGTAATAGCAACCTGCATATGTCTCATATTAATGTTATTTTCCTAATAGTAATAGCATTAAAAGCCTACTTACTTTGCCATTGAGTTATCCTGTTTAGGATAATTCACCCAGAAAAGCTCTCCGTGAGCATGTGAATCTATTTGCTACGTATGTAGCATTTTATAATATATAACTGAAAATACTGAAATCACAGGGAACTGATATTTTGATTCTAACGCTGGCTTTTTGAGTATTTTTGCAATCAAAAAAAAATCTGTTGTCTTTCTTGAATAATTTATTAGCAGGACTTTTGTTGTATTTCCACATGGAATTCATGAAGACAAATAATATTTTTTTGCGGGGAGAGTTTGGACGAGTGAAAATTCACACATGGAAAACAAATGAGCATGGGGAAACATTCCTCTTTGTTCATGGCTACTTGATCTGTAGCCAGAATTCATATGGATCCTTAAAATCAAGTAAATTATGCCTGTAGCGACAGCTCCCTTTTGCTAGAGTCGCACAACAAGCATCAAATGGTGGCGTAGAATAGAACGGCCAAATTTCATTTTTCACTTCCCGATTCCTTTCAATTAGAGTATACACATTTTGAACAGACAGTCCTACACATATTCTATAGTATTGAAGGTGGAATTCGGTTGTAGATACCTCTCAGATGCAACACCCTTTCCAAAGTCATGATATCTGGGACTCGTTCTCTCTATTTGTTTAGTTGTTCACACATACACACGAGGACCAATTCTGCATGCAGAAAGCAGCAGGAGCTGAGGGTGTGCTTCTGAGGACAGAATTTTGCCCACCTCTTTTCATCTCTGCAGATTCAAAAAAGAAATATGGCAGAGGTGGAAGCAATGATATACAGATCTTATTTAAACAGACCACAAAAGGAAAATGGAGAAAACCAAGGAGGTTTTGCTCTTTCATAGGTTTTCTTTCTGTACCTTTTATAAGGGATGGTAGACTTTCTTTAAATAGCTTATTGGACACAGGTTAAGAAACCTGCCACTCATTGGTTTTCAGATTAGATAAAATAACTGATGAATTATGTGGTAGAAAATTAGGATGGATTACATGAATATCTGTTCAGACTACCATAAATATTTATAAACAATCTTCCTTGCAGAACATGTCTCTGTCATTCATTTCAGAGCAATGAAAAACCTGGAACAATGGAACTAATGACTACATTGTTCCAAAGTTAAATAGTTTATCTAATAAGGAAAATAATGAAATGAGCCAAATTCTTTATGAACATAACAGTGAAGCAATTAAAATGAATGTGATTTTCCAGATCAAAACTTCTGCCTGTTAATTGCTATATGGCACCTATCCTAGTCCTATGAGTTTCCCTTGCAGCTGTTTTTATTTCATGATACATTTTGAAATCCCCAGAGCCTAGTCCTGGGATCTGACATAAAGACGGTTAGTCTGAAAACCAGGATAGTTATCGAGTGTTTATAATTTGTATAGATTAACTCTCAAGACAGGCCTTTGTGAACAATCACTGTTTCTTGCCATTTGCATTTTGTTTGCAATGTGTTTCCAATTAAGATAATTTATTGGTGCATACTTCTTATTCTAAAGTATGGGGTTCTGTTGCCATATGTAGGAGAGAACACAAAGGCAACTTCTTGGGAACAGTGCGGTGCCCTGCGCTTCTCTGGTAGTTTTGGATCTGGCTGTCATTACTGCATTCATGTAGCTAATAGTGAAAATGTTGTTGTGAATTGTATGTGCAATAAATAATATTAAAACTCACTTTTAAAAGTCTGAGTCACCTGTATAATTTTCTCTCTTAGCTAATAGAGCAATATTTTCTCCTTTTCTACCAGTTGGTTGCTCTCACTCTCTCAGTCATGGAACATTGTTTAGCCGAAGCTATGACAAAGTACTTGTATGTCACATTCCAGTGAAATGGAATGGTTCAGTCAACAAAAGCACAGAGGTGATGTACAAAGGCAGGTCGATCAGTGTGCCCTTCCCATTTAGGCATATCTCTGCCCTCTGATAGGCCAAGGTGGTTTGATTTGCATAATGACTGTATGGCTTCACACTGACCCCACATCCCAGCTGGCTGAGGGGGAAGGTTCGGCATTACTTTACATTTACCAAGAAATAACCTTTCGCCTCTTATTTGTATGACCATTGCCACCAAAGCTCCAGATCACAATTTGACTGCCATCGTGCTTAGCGCTGTACAAACATGTAAGAAAACATGGGCACGGCCTGAAAAAATGATCATATAAGGCCCTGATCCGGTGAACACCAATGTAGGGGCTTGCTTTTAGTTTCACTTCAGTCGACGAGGCTCTGCAGGGATACAGGCATACAGAATCTGAGCACAAAGATGAGTGAGGGGTGTGAGGGTGCTTTGGCTGAGTCCATGCACTGTAGGAGTGTGTGCGATGAGCAGCTCAGCATGGTTCCCTCCCTGCACTTCCATGAGCACTACAATTGTTCCTGTGGAAGCTAGAAAACATCTCTGTTCTGCGGAGAGTTTTGGCCTCATTCTTACTGGGCGCGGGTGCTGCATCTTGCCCTCTGTAGCTGGGATTAGAAGGATTGGGACTGCACTGCTAGGTCCAGGTCTGAGCCCCAGGTGAGGAGCCCAGTTTAGGTGAGATTATTTAGCCCAGAACATGGTTATCAGCTCATACAAAAGAAGCACCTCAAGTTGTGTACGCACTTTGGAAGTTCAGTATGTGTGAGCCTAATGTTTCATATTAGGTTAGTAGAAACTGTATCTTACTTATGTGGATTATTAAAGGAGATAAACCAAAATCTCAGTTGCTGAAGTAACTAATGTAGTTTATCCAGCATTGAACAGATATTGGCATCTTGAGGTAAGTATCAGGAGTCAGTGATTTCAGACTATGATATTGAACAAGCTGAAGCCATGAGCAATATGATATTGATTAGACAATAGAAGTAATTATATTTACCAACATAGTTTTATTGGGTGGGGTGGAAGGTGACGAGACTTTAGTCTGGAGTTTAGGGAGGACAATTAAAAATGTTGTAAGCAAAGCCCTAGTAGCCTTTGTGTTTTTCTTTTTAACAGCTATGGATTTTCTACCTGCTATTTTAAAATTGCATGGGCTCCCTTCTTAGCCATCAGAAGGATTTTTTAAAAAATACATTATCCTGGAAGTTTAGTACTGATCTCAGGAGAGCTTTATTTTTTTTCCAGAGACCTTTCTCTGACAATGTCCACCTCTTCTGCTGTTCCTTTTACCCAATGATTTTTTTTAATGCTATTGCAGAAAGATTAAAGGTTATCTTTGAATGTAGAGGCTTTTATCTAGCAAACACCTTTTCTAATGCTAAATGAAATCATGTCAGATTTGAATAGGTTCCATATTTAGTTGCTGCTTCAATTCTGTGAGGAGCTGTAATTTCCTGGGTCATGAAACCTCTTTCTTTCCCTGGCTGTTCCCCCCCAATCCCAATGGCTATCAAATGTCCAAAATTCATTTTTATTTCACATCTAGTGACAATGGGAGATGAATAAAACTTGATCTGCAGACCTTCAACAGAACAGTAGTTGCTCATCAACAGAGTAACTTGTACTACTTGATTCTCTGCTGTCTCTCTAAATGACTATTATTTGAATTTTGTGCCTGCCCATTGGTAAGATTTTATCTTGTAATAAATCTGCCAAAAAACCCCCAGGAACATCTCTAGTTACTGTCATTTGTTTCTAGACATGATTTGGAAGATCGCCAGGCTCCTCAGAAATAGCAGCAGCCATGGACTAAAAGGATGTACAGTAAACGCTTACTGTAAGCTTTGAGTCAGATCATCTACAGACTTTAAGTCATCTTTGTGCTCTCCTGATTGTTCCGTCTCCTAGAGGCCTTTTCTCAGCCTCAAATATACTATGCTATACTATACTATAGCCCCAAATAATCCCTCTCATTACAATTAAATTGTTTGGAGTCAGTCATAATCATCTCCCGGCAAGCAGTAGGCCATTTTTTGCCAAGTGTTTAAAAATCCAACTTTTGTACTTTGAGAGCTGAGAGACCAGGAGTGTGTGTTGGCCATAATGAGCCACTGGTGTAAGGGGGTACGACTTTAAAGGCAGTTCTTGCAGCAGTTCACCCTGGGTGAACTTCACCCCTGCTCAGAAAGGCAGTGTGGTTAACTCTGGGGATTTTATCACGAGCCTCAAGATTTGTGGTGTTTTTCTTAAAACCCCAGCTTCTGGAGTCATGTGACAATGTAAAAATAATCTCTGTTTTCATTTAAAAATAAAACCTGGGGGCAGGCAGACTCTTCCGCTGTCATCAGATAGGGGGGAAAGAATCAGAAGTGAGAAACTAGTGGTGGTAAAAAAAAAGGGCCCCAGGAGTGTTTGCACCCTCTCCCATCATTCCCTGCCTGCCCGCCCACTCCCAGATCTGCCCCCCCACTCAATCAGATTTTTGAACCTGTGAAGTGGCTAACAATTGGGGTTGAGCAAATTTGCTTACATAGAGGAAAATCAGTCACTGCTTCTGGCAGTGGTATAAAACAGAAGACGTTAAGCACTGCGCTTTGGTTAAAGAGAGTGAAATTCCAACAGAGATGAAGGGAAAATTTAGTTAATTTTTAAATGACTTCGAAATAGAGCAACACTCTGAAGCTAATAATTCCTCACCGAATAGTTAGCATCTAAATATTATGTAATTCTTTGTAATCTTTCCAGTCAGAGAAAATATTTAAAATCAACCATGCTGAAAAGCTCCTGAAAGACCCACTGAAGTAACCAAGGCCCGATTCTACAAACACTTAGGCAGTATCAGTAGTGGTCCCATTGAAATCAATGCTGGATGTGGGTCTTCTGCAATCAGGTCTGTATGGGTGGATCTCTTCTGCCAATGCGGTCCCATTAAGGTTGCCAACTTTATACTTGCACAAACCCTTGCTCTGTCCCTCCTCCGAGGGCCTGCCCCCACTCACTCCATCCCCCTTCCCTCGGTCGCTTGCTCTCCCCACCCTCACTCACTCACTCGCTCATTTTGACCAGGGTGGCTCAGAAGGTTGGGGTGTGGGAGGGCTCTGGCTGGGGGGGGGGTGGGCTTTGGGGTGCAGGAGGGTGCTCTGGGCTGGGACTGAGGGGTTTGGAGGGCAGGAGGGGGATCAGGGCTGGGGCAGGGTGTTGGGGTGTGGGATGAAGGTGTGAGACCTCCGTCTGTGGATGTGGGCTCTGGGGTGGGGCTGAGGGGTTTGGGGTGCAGGAGGGTGCTCCAGGCTAGGATCGAGGGGTTCAGAGAGTGGGAGGGGGATCAGGGCTGGGGCAGGGGGTTGTGGCGTGGGAGGGCGTGCAGGTTCTGGGCGCCACTTACCTTAGGCAGCTCCCAGAAGCGGCAGCATGTCCCCACTCTGGTTCCTATGTGGAGGTGCCTCCAGACAGCTCTGAGCTCTGCTCCGTCCACAGACGCTGCCCCCACAGCTCCGATTGTGGAGCTGGCGCTTGGGATGGGGCCGTGTGGGGAGCTCCCTGGCTGCCTCTAAGCCTAGGAGCAGGAAGGGGGACATGCTGCTTCTTCTGGGAGCAGCAGGGAGCCTGCCTTAGCCCTGCTGCACCGCCAACTGGACTTTTAATAGCCTGGTCAGCAGTGCTGATTAGAGCGACCAGGGTCCCTTTTCAGCTGAGCATTCTGATTGAAAACCGGACACCTGGCAACCCTAGGTCCCATGCAAATGAAGAGAGGAGTGGCTATATGATCTGAATGCAGAAGGGCCTAAAAGCTGTGAAATTCCAAATGTTTGAAATTGCTTCTTTTCAACTCCAAAGAAACTGAAGAAGGGTTGTTATTTTGGAGAGGACTTGTTTCCCCAGCGTCTAGATTACAGCAAAGATCTCAGGGCAGCTTTTGGTAAATAAAAACCTAAAACATTTAAAATAGAAGAAAACTACCAAAACAAAACACTGCATCACCCAACTATGTGTGCATTGTGAAAGAACAAACCGCATGTGACAGATATTAGTCACATTGCTTCATGCCTTACTGGAAGGCACTCAAATACTGTAGGCATGAGGGTGATATGAAAACCAGCATGCAATAAAATAGAGTAATATAGAACTGGATAATTTGGGGCTTTGAGCTGAACTGGTTGACTCCAGCGTGTTCTTCAGGATACTTGAGTGACTGTCCCTACCACACATGCTCACCAGGGTCAACAGAAGCTACTTTGACTTATTTTTTCAGGCCTGTGTAAGAGGGAGAGAAGATAACAGATAAAGCAGGGGTGTTAGTTGGTATCTGCTACAGACCACCAAATCACACTAGGGAACAGGATGACCAGCTCCTTTCACCCCCCATCTATATGATGTAGGGAAAAAAAGCTACATGTTTGGCGCACTTCAGGTTGAATGACACAAGCTGGAGGTCTCATGCTGCCTAACCAAAAAGTGTTGCAACTAACATAGGGGGATTCCATATTAGACCTAGCCTTGACAGATGAAGCGGAACTGATCACAGAACCAAAAATTAATGGTAACTTAGGTACGAGCACTCATGATTTGATCACATTCATAACGTTCAAACAGTATGAAGTCTAGACCAGTAATAGATATTCTCGGGGCTTTAAAAGGGCCATTTTCACAAAGCTGAAAACACTTATGAACCAAATCTGCTGGGAGGAAGAATTTAATCAGAAAAATGTGAATGATAATTGGGAATTATTTAAGAACACTTTACTAGATGCCCAAAAAGCCACAATCCCACAACTGAGTCAGAAGGCTGTATTGGTTCAAAAAATGACCTGATTGAGAAGAGAAGTGAAGGCAGCTTCATATATATCTCTCACAACCCACCCCTCTCCCACCCCAACTGGAAGAAACAGGAATTCAATAGTAATGAATATAAATCAGAAGCTAGAAATTGTAGAAAATTGATAAGAGAAGCAAAGTGACACAAGGAGAAATTATGACAAGCAGAACTAAGGACAATAGGAAGAAGTTTTTAAAGTCAATTAGGAGCAAAAAGAATCCTGACATCATTATTTGTACATTATTAGATGAAAATGGTAGAATTATCATCAATAACGCAGAAAAGGCAGAAGTGTTCAATAAATATTTCTATCCTGAATTTGGGGAAAAACAGATGATGTAGTCTCAAATGATAACACTCTACCCATTCCACTAGTATCTCAGGAGGATGTCAAACAACAGCTATAAAAGTTAGACAATTTTTAAACACAGGTCCAGATAATATATGAATTTCTCCCATCAGCTGAGTTTGCCTCTCAGACCAGAAGGGAGGAACGGAATAAAAACTCCTAACAAGGAAGAACAAGTATCTCATTGTTGCTGGGATTCTAGGAGCTAGGTTTCTAGGCATAAGCAATGGATCCCCAGCTGCTTAGCATGGGTTAGTCCTACAGGACTTATATAGTTTGCTTATTATGCAACCTTCTATTAAGTTTCTTTTGAAACTTAAGATATAAACACAAATGATTTACTATAGGTTTGTCTGCTTTAACCTTGTAAAGAACTCTTATTTCCTTTTCCTATCAATAAATCTGTATATAGTTTATTACAGGATTGGTTGGCTACACGCGTTGTCTTTGGTGTGAGATTTAAGGTGCAATTGACCTGTGCTAAGTGACTGATCCTTTGGGACTGGGAGTAACCTGAATGTTGCTGTGATTCAAGATGTAAGGGACTATCTATCACAACGGTAGGATTGCCTAGGTGACAAGGTAGATCGGAGTACCCAATGGAACTGTCTGGCACTCCACGTATTGGCTGCTACAGTGCCTGGGGAATTCAAACTTGATAACTGGTTGGTGAAACCTAAGTATAGAACTCACAGCCAGTTTGGAGTGAGCCTGCCATCCACCAAAAATGCCAGATGGAGGTATCAGGCCACAGAATGACTCCGCTCCACCCCAAGAAGGTAACATCAGGTAGCTGGGGGAAGGAGGTGTTAGGAGAATGGGTTGGTAGCAGGGTCTGCCAAGAGTGTTGGGTAGCTCAGAGGAGCATGCAGATGTTTATCTGAATCATATCCACAAATGTCCTTGGTTTCTGCCTAACTAACTTTACAGGTAGTTTTAAATGCTGGAGCTGGCTCACTGCATGTTTTTATCTGTAGTTTTGTGACAGTGAAGCTGGTTTACTGCTTTACATGTAATTTTGCTGCTGGAGGCTGGTTATCTACTTGCTTTTATATAGTTTGTGACTGAGATGCTGCTATCTCTCTCTTCTGCATGAAAAGGGGCTGATGCTGAATTCTTGATTCAGTGACCAAAATAGTTAGCAGTGAAATTGCTGAAAACTGGATAGAATTTTTTCCCCAGGTGAACGTCTACCAAAATGTTCTTGTTTCCAAAAACTCTAGTAACAGATTTACTGACAATTTTGGATACATTTTTTTTTTAAATCACTAATGCGTATATAGTAAATACACAAAGTCGAGAACAGTGCATCTATCTTTCTAAGTTCACACAAGCCTGAAAGGAAAACAATATATCTATTTTCCAGGGTTATGAATCTAACAGCATCACAAGTTATCACTAGGAAAACATTTCAAAAGCCTGAACTTGCACTTGTGGAAAAAGGAACACAGATAGAGGAAACAGATAAATACACGTTGTGTTAGTAGGCTTTGTTTTCTGAAATGATATATTGTTCCGGAGAAGAGGTTAGCAAACAAATTATTGTCTTTTTCCAATACAGCCAGGTCTTTGGTACTACAGACCAGATGGTGAGGTGAGGCAGATTAAAACTTAACTGACAATAGGTCAGTATCACAGGAAAAGTGCCCTAAGTTTATCTATTGTTAAATGATATAATTTATCGTCTTTGAAGGTTAAGGAGCAATTTCTGTGCCTTTCCTACTTTTTGAACAAAGATTTATAACACAGATAATCCCAATTTTAGATATTTACTGCAGGTTATATTTGAAAGAATTTCCCAAAAGACTAATAACCCTTTTTTTTTCTTAAACACAGTCAAACCAGTGAACTAATATGATGCTTTCTTCAAACAACTGTATTTACTGTCTCTGTACACGATAAATTTTCATTTAGTCTATGATCAGCTGACAATATGCAAGTTTGCAGATACCAGTAATTGAGTACAGATAACCTTGACTGTTGACCTATGCAGAGCCATGACTGTCTAGTTTTCATTGTTTCTGTTTTTGCTATTTGACAAAACTGATGTGGACTGAATTTATAGGTTAGCCATTCATTGCAGTGGGAATAGCTTATCATTTTGGATCTATATTGCAAGAAGTTTCTATTTATTTCACTTAGTGAGATGGCAAAACTGAACCTGATTGGGCCAATTCAGTATTAGCATTAACCCTTAAGAAACTAGTAAATTCCTACATGAATGTCACTTGAGCACAGGTTAATTTCCTCCAGCTGAACACTAGCCTTTGGGGTAGGTTGGTATGGCTAGTGAGAATGGAGGGTTTCTAGTAACTGGGGAAAAGGGCCCGATTGGGACCATAAGATTCATTAATATTTCCCCATTGGGAATGGTCTCGTGATGGAATCCACTGGTTTTGCTGCCAGTTCTTGATCCCTTTCTCTGGCCAGGAACAAGCATAGAGAAGTGGGATCAGCCAGTTGGTTGGGGGAAAAGAAGGGGACAGGTCTGGTGGCCTTGCCACATGCTATAGAACAGAGAGTTCTGGTCCTGTCTGCTTTTTGTGGTTGAGAGAATTTATCTGGTGATAAATTTACCTTTTGTAGGAAGGGTGAGGTGGGGCTCATCGAAGGGACTCAATTTGTGAGGGAAGGAAGCAAGAGAAGTGAGAAAGGCAGAGCTTTTGGTACTGACTGGAAAGGCTGACGTACCATGCATGAGCATAGTAAGGGTTAATATACCATCATCATGGATATTACTGTTGGACTCCCTATAATAAAGGAAATGTGCTTGGATTTTTTTAATGTTTTGATGTCTTTGTAGTTAGAATGATTCATTTTATCTAGCAATGAGCGCAACACAGTATTGTCGAGGTACTTAATGTGTAAAGCTGGGGTTTGCAAAGGAGCTTATGGGTGTTAGCTACCCAAATCCTCTTGAACTGCAGTGGCGCTGGGGGTGTAACTCTCCTAGGCTACTTTGAACACCCTGGCCTAAAATAATAGTATTGATAGAATACATTCAAAACCACAACAGACTCTCTGTTAATTATATTGATTATAAATGGCTTTATTCTCTATTTATTTTGAGCTTTTCACTTTCACCCTCACTGATGTTTCTATAGGTATAGCTTACCTATAGGGAGGTGGTGGGTTTTTTTTAAAAAAACTTTTTCGGAAGTTTTAACTACGTTTGCAGGTCATTGCTATCTAAATCTCAGACACAAAACATAAATCATTACACAAGCGAGCTTTTGCTTAAATAAACATTATTCAAGAATATAACTATAACATTATTTATAAACAATACAAGAACCCGGGGGCGCTCAATACAATTAAAAAGCAGAGACTATAAAATGGTTAAAAGGAAATATATTTCAATGCAAGGTACATTGGACTGACCATTGGAACTCACTGCTAGAGGATATTACTGTGGCAATGTAATGGGGTGCACTCACCTCTCGCAAGTGCCCCCTGGCCAAGTGTGTGTGCCTGCACGTTCTCTCTACCTGTTTGTGGTGGGCCCTCCAGTCGAGTCAGACTCAGCCTATACATGAAATAAAAACAAAGCAAACCCATTACAGCAGTGGTCGGCGACCTGTGGCCCGTCAGGGTAATCCACTGGCAGGCCATGAGACAGTTTGTTTACGCTGACCATCTGACAGCAAATGTGAAAAATCGAGATGGGGGTGGGGAATAATAGGAGTCTATATAAGAAAAAGACCCAAAAATTGGGACTGGCCCTATAAAATAGGGACATCTGGTCACCCTATGGCCACCCGCAGGCAAGGCTGCCTGCAGCTCCCAGTGGCCGTGGCTTGCCATTCCTGGCAAATGGGAGCTGCAGGAAGTGGTGCGGGCTTCCACTGGGAGCTGCGAGCAGACATGCCTATGGACGGTCAATGTAAACAAAACTGTCTCGTGGCCTGCCGGTGGATTACCCTGATGGACGACATGTGGCCCGAAGGTTGCCCACCACTGCCTTACGGGGTACAGGTCCAGCAGGGGCGTCTCTCAGCGCCCCCCGTAACGTCTCTCTCAAGTTGTCCCTGCTCCAGTATAGTGCAGTGCCTAAGTGCTCCCTATCTGGAGGCAATGTCTTCGCCCTCTCAGGGCCTTTCTAGCCACAGCTCTCCAGCTGGGCCATTATAGTTCAGTTCCCCTTCTGGGGTGCCTCAAAGTCCAGGCTACTTTCCCAGTGACTGGGGGCAAGAGGGGAACCCCAGGCCCACCCTCTACTCTGGGTCCCAGCCCAGGGACCCTATAAATAGCAGCCATGTCCCTTTAAATAAACTCCATTGCAGCTATAATTCCCTCGACCACTTCCCCGTGGCTCCAGCACATGCTACACCCCTACCTCAGGGCCTTGTCCTAGTGGAGTCCCAGCAGCCAGCCCGTAGCACCATCCACTCGCCTCCAGCTCTAGCAAACAACTGATCTCTGGCCCTGCAGCTCTTCTTATTCTAGTCTGCTGGGCCCTGATTAGGTGATTCCAACGCAGCCGCTCTAGGCAGCTTGGAGGGCCTCTCTACTGCCCTTTTTTGGGGTGGGGTGTGGCAGGGCCACAAGGCCTCCAGCAAGGGGCCTTAGGACCTAGTCCACCATGTCACAGGCAAATAGTTTGCTAATTGCCCCCCAAAAAGGATTATGGTCAAAGCCTGATCCACACTGAAGTAAATGGCAAAAACTATATTGATTTCAGGTGGAGCAGGATTTTACTCAAGTGCTATATGAGAAAGAATGGGGATATACCAGCAAAGCTCAAAATGATAAGGATTAGCAATCCTTGTGCTTCAGGGTATACACTGGTCACCAGTCAGATGAAATACTTGTAATTTTATAATAAAATGACCACAGGTGCACTCAGAGTTTAAAATGCTGGAGGAGTTTAAAGACAACACCTCCAGCAGAGCGGACCATGTTCAAGGAACCACAGCTGGCTCTCTGTGGCCACCATCTAGCTACGATAAATACTTACATAGCTCCCAATACCTAGTATTTGAGCATCTCACAATTTTAATGCAATTATGCTGACAACACCTCTGTGCGATAGGGCTGTGCAATTATCCCCATTTTGCAGATGGGGCACTGAGGCACTGAGAGACCAAGGGACTTGTCCATGGGAACCCAGGGAGTCTGTGGCAGAGCAGGGAACTGAACCTGGGTCTCCTGAGTCCCAGGCTAGCGCCCTAAAGGACACTGGGCCATCCTTTCTCTTTCAGCTTGGACATATTGGAAAATCAAGGTCACAGAGTTCAAGTGTGGTTTGCAAATCACTCACCTATTACAGTTGCACGTGAGAACTAATGGTCAAGATGAGCCATTCAAGAGATGTTAAAATTTCAGCTTAGTATTCAGAAGTCAGCATTCAAGCTACTGTCATAGGGTGACCTCCTCCAGGGCACACCCTTGTGGCCTCTGGGTAACCCTGCAAGCAGCCCTTGCTTCAGTCTCCTCCTTCAAGGGGCTTTTTGAATATCTCATGCACCCTTTTGTCCATTCACAGCTCTTCTTGGGTTCTGGTTTATGAAATTAAAAGACATTCAAAACAAAGTTCTCAAGTCCATCTGTTTACTGCCAGGCCTTTGTGCCTGTAGTCTCACTTCTGAAGTCCCACCTTTCTGTGCTGGTGCCTACTTGCTCCCAGCAGCCTCTCTCTCTCTCTACCCCCACTCTGGGGCTTTTCCCTCTGCAGCCCTTTATAGGAGAATCAGCTGATCCCTGTTCAGATGCGTGTCCTCAGTAACCAGGGTTGGTTGGCCCCAGGCCTCTAGCTTGTAAAGAGGCAAGCCGCCCTGTTACAGTGTCAGAGGAGTCAACAGGTCTGTGTTCAAAGGGTAAGATATCTAGTGCTAAGTCCTCTGATGACAGGCTTTAAGGGATAAAAAAAAAAATACAGGCAAAATACCACCATCGGCATACAGTAAGCATTGCATTTGGTATTGTCCTGAACCCAGCCTCTAAAGCCCTTGTGGGCAAACACTTCATGGTTGGAACTTCATGAGTTTGAGGGGCTCTGTCAGCTCAGGGTACAGGGAGGGAACCACAGAGGGCACTCTCCCACGGGAAATCTCCACTCTTTGTGGTGGGTTTCCCATTAGATGTTATTGCTCAGAGCAAGTCCTACCTGCAGCAGAGAATGGAGCAGTGTGCATCTACCAACCACTGCTCATGAGAGGGCTGACTGGGGAGAAGGATGGAATGGCTGCATTTCCACAGGAATGGAACCTGATTTCGCGATAGATTTTGGGGCAGATTGAATCCGTTTGAAAGGGTTAGAAGAAACTGTGCTGAGTTTCTTGCAAAGTTTTTCACTGAGGGAAGAATAAAGTGTCCTTCTGAGAAAGGTGTTTGTTACCAGTAGGTCTACGACCTGTTTGTACAATCATGAAAACAGAGTTGCCATATGAAAAAAAGATTCTAGCTACAAAACAAACACAGATCAGTCGGAAATTCCAACAGGTCGTATATTTTTATATGGACTCAAGCAGATCTTGAGCAGAAAAGTTATTAAAACATTCACTTGTACTCACATACTAAGTGGAAGTAAGATGGCAGAGTCCAGAGTTACATGCCTCTCTCTATATTCTATTGAGTTTGAATGTTTGAATGTTATCATACAGTGGTTATTCGGATTTTGCTCATACAGTATAAACACTAGGAATGGTGTA